ATATATACATATATATATACATATACATATATATATATAGCTTTAATTGATTATCCAGGTTTCATAACTAAAAAATGCTTCATTAAAATAATGCCAAGTGCCTACACTGAGTCTATTTCTGTCAAACACGTTAATGCATGACTATAACTCACTACTGGTAAACACACTAAACACATAAAGAACACTACTATTCTCACTGTATAATCACCAGTGGGTATGCAAGCTTGAAAATAGGGTTTTGCATTTCAATCAAACTTAAAAGCTACGAGGGGTTAGCCAAGTTGGAAGGCACTATGGCTTTCTGCAGTAACCTGCTGCAGAACTCTGGCACTCACCGACTCGCCTTTCTCTCCTTTCTGGCCTTTGGGTCCTTCTGTGCACTGAGGTTAGAGACAGTTGGTTGGCACATGTTATCACACACCATTCTTAGTACAAAAGTCAGACTTACTGTGCTGCATGCAGAGCAACAAAAATACATTGTTCTGCAAGATAATTCACATGGCATGAGACTAGGGCACAACAAAAATGTTACTTACTGGTCCTGAACTGGAGCCAGAACAGCCATCACCCTGAGAGAGACAGAAACGTGAATAGTTGCTTTTAAGTGTGGCATAAATTGCAAAAGGCATAATGATGCATAGCTATATGATTATTTGGTGTGAATCCAGCATCATGATCAATTTCAGCAGCATCAAAGTATAAAATGATAGTGCTGGGCCTGTTAATACATGTGTTGACATTGTAAATCCCATTATATTCATGTTTTTTATTGCATCTGGGTCTTTGACTGCTTTGTAGGCATTTCTTTACACTTACCCGGTCACCTTTTTCTCCTTTCAACCCAGCTGTTCCACCAAAGTTTACAACCTGCAACACACACACAGCGTATAGTTTTACACTTTATGGTTTAATACCGCTAACTCAGTCTACAGGAAATAAATGCATTAAAGATCAACGATCCTTACATTTTCCTCCCTACTCAGGAGTAAACAACCAGCACACCACAGACAAACACAAATAATAAATAAATTAGCAGCAAATGTTTATTTATCAGCTGAAGGAGTTGGTGACTATCATTAACGTCCTTGTAGTTCTTGCTTTCACCTGGCAGTGGCACTCTTGCACAAAAACGAAACCTTCGCTGGCTGTGCTCCTGCTATGCAGCTACAAAGAATGGGTTGTATCCAACCGCACACTAACATACACGCACATGCACACATAGGCCATTGTAGCAGATCAATAGGAATGTGTGATTCCCGCAGCACAGGATTGAGGAAACCAGCTGCTCCTACATGAGGGCACAGACATGCATGCAGTCATATGCACGTACCAAATAGGGACGGCAGTAATAAATAACTGAAGTCTTTTCAGTGGAAGTGGGTAATTAAAGCTGAATTACCGCAGTCTGTGTTTGTGGGAGTGTTGCTTTCACACACCAGAAAGTTTGCAATATGCTGAAGCTGTGGCTCTGAGCTTGCTGAGACGATGCAAGAGAGCTTGTAACAGCACAAAGACAATGTGTAATTCTGCCTCTTCTCTTTTTATTCACACCCTTGCTCTTATGATCTGCAAATCTACCAATGGATGCATCAACCAGCTGCAGTGGCGAGTCACTTTTTCCATGTTCTTATATGTGACTGTCGGCTTGTTCATCGACAGAAACGTGTAATTAGAGTAAAACTCCACAAGCGACAATTATTCTATTTCTCTTCTTCAGTTTTACTCCAAAAAGGAAATAAATCTCATGACTTTATCAGCTCAATGTGCTGCCTCATCTTGTTGATTATGAATTATTTAATAAAATGCAAACAAAAACATGCGTCTCATATAGGATTTGGCATTTACATTTATACTTTAAGCCCCAGTTTATTGTTTCCATGGCAAATATCATGGATCACTAACTACAGGCTAGAGATTACGTTTTGCAATAACTATAATCCCTTTATAGCATATTAAATCTCTATACTGCACATAAACGTGACCTTTTTGGAATTCACAGACACTCATTTTGTGCCGTTTTAGTTCTGAATATAACATAAAGACTACATGCAACATATTCATGTATCTTTGCACAAAATTGACTTTTATGTCATACTTTGTTTTTACATGTTATGGTGGTATGTAACACTATGACAAAAGCAAAAGTTTTTTTTTTTTAATTAAAACATTTTTTTTTCCCATCATGTTCAGAGGCTGTCAAATAATCAGGTTTCAAACACTGATAATCCTGTCAAGTCTGACATAAAGCCCTCATGTTTTAGGAGGTGTGGTAGCTGCTTGACAGCTGCTAATATCACATTTACCAGACAAAGACCAATATAATGCCTCAGTAAATGAGAAATAATAATAATAAACATATTTCTAAAAAAAAAATAATAATAATAACTTTCTTGAATTTCCATTTTTTTCTATGAAAGCATTTTTTTTTTGTGATTGTCACCTAAAATTATTATATTTTGTCTTGATTGAACTGAATGGAGCATATCATTTGACTATTTTTTTATTTTTATTTTTTATACGAATAAAGCAGAATCAGGAATGCCAACAGGTGGTATCAAACCAAACAGCTTTAAGAGATTACTGCAAGTTTAAAATAAATGTTAGTCTCACTATGCATCAGTAAAAAGACCCTAATGCACTTGTTTGCTTTCATATTGCCAGGTGAACATTGTGACTGCACAATTCTCAATCAATGGTCAGTGCTAGGTCATATATGCATGGGACATTCATCAACTGATTTGTTCAGCTAATCAAAGTACTGTATGTTTATGGATCAGTCATGTTTCCCTACACATGACATAGGACTCCATGATGAGCTAAGAAAGTACCTACTCTGAAGCAGAAGCTATAGTAGGCCTCAAATGGTTTTAGGAACTCCTTTCCCCAGAATGTGTATAAAAAAGGAGGGCAAAAAAAATCAGATATTGATTTAATCATGTCTCATGACACTTTTTTGAAGAAGATTTAGTTATTTTATTGGGTATTTATCAATTATCTACAAGTATGGATTTTTAGCTGCTGTTAGCTAATTGTTAATGTTTATTGCTAAAAACATAAAAAGCTCAGCCAAGCAGCCATACACATTGTTATGTGTAATCATTGCTACAACTGAAAACATTAACATAAAATGCTGTTGGTTCACCTGCTAGTAAGAACAGAGGACACAGTACATTAAATGTCTGATACTTTAAGACTTTTAAAGTATTAATATTAATAGAGACTTTAACTTTTACCAAAGTAATTTTATGGTAAGATACTTGAACTTTTACTAAAGTATCACTTTGAAGTACTTTATACAACACTGGAGGGCACTAACAGAGTACTTTGCTCTCAGACTGCAGGTTTACTTGTGGTTCATAGAGTTTCCAAAGGCAGAATGGGAGGAAGATCTTCTAGTGATAATGCTCCTCTCGTGTGGAACCAACTTCCAGTTTCTGTCCGTGAGGCTGACACATTTTCCAGTTTTAAGATTAGGCTCAAGCCTTTCATTTTTGAAAAATCATATAGTTAGGGTTGACTTGGTTTCCTGAGTTCCCCTTAGTTATGCTGCTATAGACTTACTGGAGGACAACTGACCACATTTACTCACTCTGCTGCTGTCTTTCCTTTCTATCTTTTTTTCTCAATTTCTCTCTCTCTTGATTTCTTGATTTCTTTCTTTCTTTCATTCTTTCTTTCTCTCTTTCTCAACTCAACTCAATCTGCTGGCTTCCTTAGATAGAGAACTTTTACTAATTGGCTATTTCTGTATGTAAATGTTTCTGTTCAGTGCCCTGAGACAACTTCTGTTCTGACTTGGCGCTATATAAGTACTTCACTTTTATATATCAGCTTCCAAGGCTTAAAAAACTAGGAGAAAATGGTGTTTTCAATCACTGCTAAACATGATGTTCTTTAGATGTTGTCAAGTTTCTGCTTCATTTTTGACTGCATAATGATATGGTAAAGAGATAAGAATATTCTGAGCTTGCATCACTGGAGTTGCCTTTGGTGTCAGTGATTTTCTACAGATTGATGAAACTGAGCCTTTTGACTCACTTCATCAAGAAGCACTGATGTAGACGGAACAGTATAGAAACATAACTGATGAAGCATAGCATGGAAACTGATGAAAACTGGCTTCTGGCTGAGCTTTGGGATTAAAACGTTGAAACCCCAAACCACTACAGACATTTATTAAAAATAATCATGTTAATTCAAATGTTTTTGTGCTGTATTTGTTGCTTTTGTTGAAGCACTGCACAACATTTCCCTTTATTATCCTTGGAATTCTATAGGCAGCACATTAGCTTATGCCTAAAAGAATAGCTTGAGTAATTTAACCAAATTAAATTGACTTTTGTTTCTTTGTGATTTTGTGCCTCCAGTGGCGGTGTGAGTCGTGTGCTCCAACCCAAGTAATAACCTACATTGCGGAAGTCAGGAGAGTCAGTCAGATAGATTAGTAAGCACACACAGGAGCAACATAATGAAGCGTCTGGAGTTTTGTATTCTATTTGTGAACAGAACATGCCTATTGTAGGTGAATGATAAAATTAATAGGCAGTAGCAACTCCCCAACTGAGACCTTGTACATAATGAGGCGTAAATCAGTTCTCAGCCAGCCAGCCAGTGTTTGAGAAAGGCAGGAGGAAGCAAAGACAAATGCACACACAACAAAGTTAGCCTACATGTTCTCCTCGTGTTGAAATTTCAACAGTCATTGCAAGTCTCTTGGTAATCGTGGTTCCTGCACTGGGTTGGGGGATGTGTATGTTCAGGATTGCCACTATTTAAAGACACGCCTCAGTCCAGCTAATGTGCTTGTCATTTTCTGGACTGTAAAGGGAAAATGGAGCACAAGTGAGGGACATGTGCATTTGAATTTTTGAACCAAGGACTTCTTTAAGTTGAGTTAGTTGTCCCACAAGACTCGTTAAAAAAAGCAAATAATGTCAAATCATGTGTGTGTGTGTGTGTGTGTGTGTGTGGATGTGAATCATGAGACTTACTTTTTCTGCAAGACCCTTGGATGCAACATAATCCTGTTGGGAAAAATAAAAATATAATAAATAAATCAACACTGTATATTTATATTGACTTTATGCATATACAGTACAATGTGACTTCATTTATTTATTTATTTATTTGTTATAGGGAAGCTGTTGTTCTCTTACTGCATGTACAGTTCTTTTTTTTGTTTTTTTATATTGTATATATTACAGTTTATTGCATCAGATAAACAACGATAAAAGATGAAATGGGGGCCATTTGGTTGCATACATGGGTCATTAGCAGTCATTCTTTACCAGAAAATAAGGAAGAAAGAGGCTGGACAGAGAGAAGATGAGATGTACTGTAGCCCATGAGCCCTGAGGTATGTATATATAAAGAGAAGAAACGTGATGTGCACAGAATAACAAACTTGGATTGGGAAAAAAAAAAAAAAAAAAAAAAAAAAGAAGAATATAAGTCAACAAGAAGTTAAAGGAAGGACTGGATGGATAAGTGAAAGCAATTGGTCCTATAAGTAAAACAATAAAATAAAAGCAGAAGAAAAATAAGAGTTGTAAAAGTTATTTTACAGGTACTGCTGAACTTCATCATAAAAGGCAAGTAGTCAAACACAGAGGCTTTGCAAAAAAAAAAAATAAAAAAAAAATGACAAAGTAGACTTTGGGTCTTTTGAAGCCTACAAGACCTTTCTGCTGGGAACTGGGCTGAAATCAAGAAAGGGGGAAAAAGAGGCTTACAGTGCTGCAAGATAAGAAACAGTGAGGGTGAGATTTGTCATATCTCAGGAAGGCAGTAACTGCTGTGACCCCCACACACAGACAAGCAATCTGCACATAACCCTGTACCAAACCCTTATTTGATACTAGCTCCAAAGAAAGGTTGTTTGACATCACCAGAAGATGGGGTTCAGTGCTGTGGGTCAGAGCAGTCAATTATGCCTCTTGTATCTCACTGCCCTGCTGGTGAGGCAACTGTTACAAGCTGCTACAGAAAAAAAAAAAAAAAAAAGTATTCAAGCCAACAGAACTTTATAGTAAATCCCCATGAAGACTAGAAATTTCCGAAGATGGCAAATGTTAGACTTGGATGTTTCTGTTTTTTTTTTATTTTTTTTATTTTTTTATTATTCTTTTCTTATCCAACTCAGCAACTGCAAGCTACATGTTTGTATAATCACAATAGTAAAAAAAAAAAAAAAAAAGTGTATCAGTGACTCATCTCTTTTCAATTTTCAAGTAAACAAGTATACATATTAAAATTACAATGTTCCTATTTTTCTAAATCTAATACCCACAGTGCAACAAAAAGCCAGTTTTATGATTTACTGTTGAGCCTCAAAAGGTCTCATGCCAAACAGCCTGAACTAGTGAGTAGCTAGACATGTACAAAATCATTTGTAAACTCATAGCTAATCCATTTTAGGAAACCTAAAAAAAGGAATACACATCCACAGACGTTTGAAGCTTAAATATACTGTATTTGACCCACAGTTAACCCTGTGTTTTTTGTAGACAAAGTACACAGCATTACATGCATTCAGAGTTTAATGTGCCTTCACTTAGAAGGGCTTTATTTAATCAGTGGAAGCTATTGTTTGGTTCCATAACATCTGGCCTGCACACTAGAATTTAGCATTTCAAGGCCCATTTACTGTTTAAGAAAACTGATTTACAGAAGAAAATATAAAGATCTTGGGTTCACTTGTACATACAGTACATGCAATAGAAAATGTCAGGAGAGCAAATGGGAGAGAAAAAAGATGGCTAATGGAAGGAAAAAAATGCAGATGAAAGATAAGTGCATTGTCATATCTACCGTAGTATAAAAAGCGCTTTGTGTTGTCGCGATTGAATGTTTCTATGCAATGATGAAATCTGTGCTCTGCATTTAACCCATGACATGTGAGATACACCCAGGTGGAGCAGCAGCTATGTTAGCACTCCAGGAGAAGTTAGGGATCCAATGTCTTGCACAAGTACACCACGACATGTAAGCATGGCAAGGAGTTGAACCTGCAACTTTCTCGTCCCAAGTCAGCTGTCCTACCTCTACACCACATTGGCCCCAAAAATACATACCAACAGACATATTGTGGGAAGGTTAGAAGGCTAAAAGCATATTCATGATCATCTCAAAAATCTCCCACATTCAGAGTGATTTGTCTGTTTTGTCAGTGTTATTTATATACTTTGTTTTTGAGAAAATATCTAAATGAGAAGAAAACAATTGTTGTAATGTCACACTGCTGAAAACATAGCATATATATCTATATTTTCTGCTTTCTTTCTTACCTCTTAGCAAAGGCGGACTACGATGGGTAAAAACAATACAGGAAAAACAAACAAACAGAAAGTGATGTGAAGTGGAGTACTTAAAGACAGTAGGTATACATTCTGCAATCTGATGTGTTAAGGATTCTGAGTCTCAGCAAGTTAGTTAACTTGGTAGACTTAGCTTTTTCTTAGTTTACACATATTCCAAGATATCCCAAAATGGCCAGATTTGTGGGCATTGCACTGGTCTTTGCTTATGGGCCCCCTCTGAGGTCGACCCCAACATGCTGGCAAGTTCCAGAAGCCGCAGGTGACCTGTGATTCTCACAAATTGCTTCCATCTTATGGTTTAGCTTGTAAATCAGCTGATTTTAAAGTACTTGAAGCATGAACCTAACCTTCACACAGACTCTGTAGTTTTGCCATGGCCAAAACTGCTGCTGCGGTCTTCTTTAATAACCAATAACATAGGAATCTGCAGATGCCAAAAAGCAGAAACTCTGTCCTCCTGAGACAATATGGAAAGGCACATCAGCTCTCAAACTCCCCACAGATCCATAATGTATCCTGCCACATGCGTCTCAGCGGGGCATGAGGGCTCTCCAGGACCCAGTCGCTTTGTTGAAATGATTTTATTGATTGCACTGAAAGTCCAGCTGACCAGATCCATGACAGTAGTTTTAGTTTCGGAAGATGTGTAAAATAGGAGCTCCGATACACAGACAGAGAGCAAAAAAAAAAAAGGCAGGAGGACAGAGTAGGAGGAGGTGGACAAAGCAGTTTTTTTGCAGTTTGTTGCTTCAGTGTTTTTAAATTATTTTGTCTTATGTTTCTTTGGTAAACTGAAGTATAATTGAAATCATAATATTTTATAGACTTTTTTTTTTTTTATAATAGCTGCATTAAGTTTGTGCGAATGTCAATTATTGCAGTGTAGGCCATTCTTTTTCACAACTTATGTAACTTGCCCTGGCATGATGTGAATAAATCCTGACTGATGGCAGCCAAATGTGACTTCCACCTTTTCTTTTCTGCTTCCTGAGTGCTCCATGAACTAATTAGTTATCACTTTTACCTCATGGCACAGTGCTCCAACATGCTGAAAAAGGCATTGCTTATCCCCACACATTTTAGATGATTTGGGAGATGTTTATGTTGGAGGATGTATTTTTATTTATTTTACTTTTTAATAACTGAAGTGTTTTTAGTCAAAATGTCAATGAGAGCCCTCCTGGTAGTCTCAGGATGTTTTGTTTTAGAAAGGACTGATGTTAGACCTCACATATTCTATCTGGACTTTATTATTATTATTATTATTATTATTATTATTATTATTATTATTATTATTATTATTATTATTATTATTATCAGATTCCCTAAACTGGAATAAGGATTCATCGCAAGAAAAATAAACAACAACAACAACAACAAAAAACAATATTAGATCTAGGCAGTCCAACACCTGTCCATTTTCAAAATAGCAATCCGTTTTTCTCAACGTTTTATTTTTAATTTTTATTATTTCATCTTGTAAATAAGTGGCTGCTTCTCTTGACACCAGGCCATCCTCCCAAATGTTTGCCTTACTGTGCGAGCAGATGCACTCACACCAGCCTGCTGCCATTCCTGATCCATTTTAGCTCTGATATTGCCAGATTCTGCAATATTATCAGGCATCCAGCCTGCTATTATAACTCAATCAATCAGCATGACAGTGATCTGCAGCCTGTGCTAACGAGAAGATCACTGTAATGATATCAAGAAGGTCAGCAGGTCCGTTTACTGCAGGGTTGATTTTCTTTTTTAAATTATGTTTATTGTCTTGTAGGAAAAGAAAAAAAAGAAGCAACTTTGCAACTAAATGTAATTAACCTGAACACATTTCAGAACAGTCTGAAACGTACACACATTTGCCATCAAAATAATTTGGTCACATAATATTTGGTGTCACTCTCTGAACTTTTGACCAAGGGTCTGCATTTGTATTTATTTCTCTGTATTTTTTGAAAGTACTATTGTTTTAATGTAGCCTTGATTTACTTTGGAAGTGTGTGTAGTTTGACAAACCACAATTAGCTCAACAAAACAATTGGGACATGATGCTTCCCAAACAAAATGCCATCATTTTTAAATAACAAACTTTTAAAATTACATAGATAATCATACAAACACAACATCTTATGTTTCTTCCCCTACTGCCATGGTTCCTGTCATCATGTTCTGTTTTCCCTGCTCATGTCTTAAGCTCCATGCCCACTCTCATACTCTGCCAGATTATCAAACTCACTCAGATAGTAGATGTCCAGCGATCACGTCATAGCCTTGTTTGTCTACCTTGTTTTGACCTGCCTGCCTCTTGGATTCCTCGCCTTGCCTGCTCTTCGTCTGCTTTGGATTTACCTCTCTGACTACGGTAACAATTCTGCTTTCTACTATCACGACCACGCCTCACAGAGATTTCGTATTGGCTTTGGATTTGGATTTCTGACCTACTGTGCCAGACCCCTGCTTGTTCAACTGAATCTTGTTTTTGGACACCCCCTCAAACTACACTCTGCACAATCCTGCTTCTCTGCTGCTGTTCACTCACTGTAAGTGACGTCATCGTCTCCAACTCCCTGAAGGAGCCCCTCTCTCACCTGACTGTGAAGGCTAGTAATCATTAGAACCTTAACAGTAAAACCCAGATAACTAATCCCCCTGTCTCTACATATTGGACCCATCCTTTGACCCAGACCTCCATCAGCAG